ACACACACACACACACACACACACACACACACACACACAATACCTCTGGGCGAGTAGCCGAGATCTCCTTCTGCGGGGGTCTTAATTATCTTGAATCCCATTCCCATAAACAAATAATGTGTACGTGTGTGCGTGTGTGTTGCAGTGCCACTTGGCTTCCAGTCCAACCGCAAAAGAAGAGAGATGGTGGAAACGGGGACCAGGAAGTAGCCACAGGACGGCTTGAATAATAGCCACCACCAGCTCCTTTGGCTAGTTATAAGTTATCAATCGGTCTCAACAGTCATTTGGATATCTTTTACAGTTAGGTGGAGCGCTAGAGGGGATCTCGTTTAACTCTGGGTAAACCTCAGACCTCACATAATCAAGGTAGTTCTCTGATTTTAAGAACTCTGCATTAATAATAGGATTGTATTCAACTGCTTTTGTTATTTGTCTAAATCCGACTGCTTGACAAGCCAACTAAAAAGGAAATGAATCTGTGTTGTTTATAACTGCACTCGGGTATTTCTCTTATTAAAACATGTTTAAAAAGCACTCTGGCATTATTCCTCTCTGTCATTATTTCATTTGTGGATATGAAAGTGGAAACCTCTTTAAACACACCCAGCTGTTGGTTTTTTATTCCTCTTATTACCTTTATCTACCTTGTTGTCCACATACACACGTCAGAAGAGAGTGTCTATAATAAAACTAACAAAAAGATGTATTTGTTATTTCAACTTAACACGACAGTTTGATTTCCATCTCTACTGGGGACACAATACTAGCGCAGCACATCGACACATTCTGACGAGTAGAAAACTCTGCTGCTCGGTGCGTCACGTCGGAAATATAAAAAGTAACAGAACGTGAAACAGACATGTTGTGCTTCATAGATTTCATACACTTGTTTGTGTGCTTGTCTGCTTGAAATCTATTGCATAAATAATCAAACACTTCTGGGCAAAAAAACTAAAAAGACAAAGTAGCACAAAAGCAGTTTTCTGTCAGAACGGTTCGGATTCAGCAAAAAGAAATAACACAGGAGCAGCATGAGATGACTGTGTGCCATCACAGATGATTCATCGCTGCTGTCCCACACCGTCTCTCTGCTTTCTCTTTCACACACTCGGTGTCTCGCCCAGAGTGAAAGATTCTCCGAGACCCCTGCGAGGCATGAACCTGAGCCTCCGTCTAACTCCCAGGCATACTGAGCATGTGTGCGCGCACACACACACACACACACACACACACACACACACACACACACACACAC